CGGGCGCCGCAGCCTGCCCCCTCTGGCTAGAGGATGGAGCTCGCTGACCCCGTGACCAACTGTAGGCGCACGTTACACAAGAGCCAGTTACAAGACCCTGCGTGTGAATCCCACAGCCCTCGCCAGAACCAGTGCGATGCAAGCACCAGCCAGCCCCTGGGATGGCAGGAGGCCGGCCTCGCCAAGGACACTGGAACCACGGGGCCCTGCTGGGCAGACCTGGCCGGCACTGGGAGCTCTGCATTCTCGGGACCGCCGAGCGCTCCAACCGCCTGGCTCGGACTCACCTGACCTCTTGCTTTGGCGCCCCAAACTTGTTCTTCTTGCACAGCACCTGGCCGTGGTAGAGCCCCGTCAAGGCCTTGGACTCGGCCGTCAGTGCGAGTTCCCCGAACCTCTGAATGAGGTGAAAAAGGAAGTCAGGCGTCCGGACGCTGGTTCTAGCCGCTCCAACCTTATCAGCATGTGGGGCAGGCCCACCCCCCACAGCACAGACAGGCCAGAGCTGCACACCCGAGCGGAGTACAGCCGCCCAGCGCACCGCCGGAGGGAATCCCATGTGGACAGGCCAGAGCTGCACACCCGAGTGGAGTATAGCCGCCCAGCGCACCGCCGGAGGGATTCCTACGGGGACAGGCCAGAGCTGCACACCGAAGTGGACTACAGCTGCCCAGCGCACCGCCAGAGGGATTCCTACACGGACAGGCCAGAGGTGTACACCCGAGCGGAGTACAGCCGCCCAGCGCACCGCCGGAGGGATTCCTACGGGGACAGGCCAGAGCTGCACACCGAAGTGGACTACAGCTGCCCAGCGCACCGCCAGAGGGATTCCTACACGGACAGGCCAGAGGTGTACACCCGAGCGGAGTACAGCCGCCCAGCGCACCGCCGGAGGGATTCCTACGGGGACAGGCCAGAGCTGCACACCGAAGTGGACTACAGCTGCCCAGCGCACCGCCAGAGGGATTCCTACACGGACAGGCCAGAGGTGTACACCCGAGCGGAGTACAGCCGCCCAGCGCACCGCCGGAGGGATTCCTACGGGGACAGGCCAGAGCTGCACACCGAAGTGGACTACAGCCGCCCAGCGCACCGCCGGAGGGATTCCTACGGGGACAGGCCAGAGCTGCACACCGAAGTGGACTACAGCCGCCCAGCGCACCGCCGGAGGGATTCCTACGGGGACAGGCCAGAGCTGCACACCTGAGCGGAGTACAGCCGCCCAGCGCACCGCCGGAGGGAATCCCATGTGGACAGGCCAGAGCTGCACACCCGAGCGGAGTACAGCCGCCCAGCGCACCGCCGGAGGGAATCCCATGTGGACAGGCCAGAGCTGCACACCCGAGTGGACTAAGCCCAGCGCACCGCCCCGCCGGAGGGATTCCTACGTGGACAGGCCAGAGCTGCACACCCGAGCAGAGTACAGCCGCCCAGCGCCCCGCCGGAGAGATTCCTACGCGGACAGGCCAGAGGTGCACACCCGAGCAGAGTACAGCCGCCCAGTGCAGCGCCGGAGGGATTTCTATGGGGACAGGCCAGAGCTGCACACCCGAGCGGAGTACAGCCGCCCAGCGCCCCGCCAGAGGGATTCCTATGCGGACATGCCAGAGCTGCACTGCCCCGCCGGAGGGATTCCTGTGACCCTCCCAGGACCGCAGAACCCTGGCACATCCCTGGAGGCCCATCCAGTCGTGGCCCCTCGTTCCCATGGGCTGCAGTGCTGTCTTGTCAATGGAGGGAGTGACGGGGAAGCCTGTTCTCTAGGGTGCTGAAGAGCAGGCGTGTCCTCCGGCCCTTGCCCACAGACTGCGTAGCCAGAGGGGCCACTGATCTAGCCTGCTCTCCAGCGGCACGCAGGCCCCAGCGCCTCCTGTCCCCATGCTGTGCCTGGTGGTTTCCCCTGGGCTGCGAACCAGGCTGCCTGCTGGCGCCACACCCGCCCGGCCTGGCTGGGGACTTGACCGCAGCCCGTCTCTGCTCCTGCCCGCGTTCCCTGCGCACTGCTCCCAGCTGGGACACCCGCCTGTGGCCCACAGTAGGGCCGGAACATCCCAGTTAAACGGTCAGTGTCACTGGCTAAACTGTTCAACGGGGCAGGTGGGCTAGAGCGGTCCCTCCGCGGAGTGAGCGGCAAGGCTGCCGCCCAGGCGCCGGTGACGTCCCTAGCTCACGTACTCAGCTGTGCAGTCCCCAAGCGGCTGCCTCGGCTACTCCCATGCCCAGCGGCTTTAGGAGCTGCTCTGCCACTGGGCGAGGGTACCGGCCCACTGCAGGGCAGGTGGAGGGGCCACCTTTCTGCCCCTCGGGTTCTAACTAGAAGCCCATCCGGGGAGCAGCACAAGGGTCCTGCTCTCAAAGGCTTACTGCACTGGAGCAGCTGCTCGCCCCGGCCGCCATGCGAGGCAGCGGGAGACGGGGGGCTAGCGCCCCACGCTTGGGCCATTTATCAAAGCAAGAGGGAAGGAGGAAGGCAAGACAGGCCAGGCTGGGCACAGGGCACCGCTCCGGGCCCTGCGGGAGGCAGCGGAACACCTCCCCGGGGGCGAACAGCCAGCGAGCTGGACACGTCTTAGCACCGGGTGCTGCAGGAAGCTTCCTGGGGGAGGTTGCTGGGTCTCTGTGGGGCAGGGGCTAAGGCGGCTCCCTGCCTGTCCTGGCACCCAAGAAGTGGCCGGCAGCTGGTCCTGCTCCTAGGTGGTGGGGGTAACAGAGGGCTCCACACACTGCCCCTGCCCTGAGCACTAGCTCTGCACTCCCATTGGCTGGGGACCCCCCTGCTGCCGGCTGCTTCCAGGGCACAGCCTGGTCTGTGGTGCCAGGAGAGGCAGGAAGCTGCCTTAGCCCCCCTGCACCGCAGACTGGCAGCCCTCAGGGTAAGCCCGTCCTGCCCCGCCCACATGCAGCACCAGCCCCTGTCTAACTGGGGCATGCGAGAGCGCGTGCGGAGACCGCTGAGCTAGAGGCAGCAGGCTCCCGGCGTGCCCTGAGGGAAGGAGAGGGGAGCACGCCTGGGACCAGCCTCAGACTCTCCCTCTGGACCCTGAGCTCTGGGCAGAGGGGGCCTGCAGCTGGGCTAGGAGGCGGATGGGCCCCCCAGCTAGGCTGTGGGGGAGGGCATTGAGGAGCACTGGCTGGGGGAGCGGGGAGACGGGGGGGGGGGG